ATGAATTGCAGTACTTTGTATTACGGAGTATTAAATATTAATCACCTAATATTTATTGTATTACTTATAACTATTATTAATATTATTTATTACTCATAAAGACTACGGTATCAAAAAGTTAAAAGCCAAAGTTAATGCCTATTCGATCAGGAACAATCCGGGTTGAATTTAGGTCGGGTCAATAACAAGTCTTGTTGATTTCAGGTCGGGTTTGTAACAGATCGGGTTGAATTTCGGGTCTGGTTAGTAATAGGTCAGGTATTATTCGGGTCGGGTTAGTAATAGGTCAGGTTAAATTCGGGTCGGTTTATAATAGGCTGGGTTAAATTCGGGTCGGATTAGTAACAGGTCGGGTTAAATTCGGGTTTTGACGGGTTAAAACAGGTTTGGGTCAATCTCGGTTCAGGACGGGTTCGGTTCAGGTCAATAATTTACGGGTTATATTTAGGTCGGGTCATCTCCAAGTCGGTTCATGTTCGGGTTCGAGTTTCAAATACTTGGGTTAACTCGGGTCTAGGGGTGGTTTCAGGTCGAGTCATATCGGGTTCGGGTCACAATTTTTCTGAGTTCAAACAAGTCGATTAATAATCGAATTCGAGTCGATATTTCAAATCGGGTCAGTTTTTTACAGCTCTAACGCTATTTAACAATTTAGGTATTTGAAAAGCCAAAAGATAACAAAATTGCGGTTTACAATAATGGACTTTATTAGCGCCAATCTCAGTTTAAGTTTTAAGTTGAACGTGTACAGCAAAATCATTCACTTGCTCAACTACTCGTACATTATTAATAATTATGCACGAGTAGCATCACTATTAATTAGTTGTTTATATATAGCATTCTATTTTCTCTTAGACTACTTGCATTGTCTATATTACTTACTTGCATATACTGTATTATTTATTAGTGCAATTAAAATAATTTCACAAAATTGAATTCATTATCATCATTATTATTTTAGCACATGTTTTGAATTTTATTGTTAATAGAAATATTGGTTGACAACAACTTAATGTCTTAATATTATGAAAGCAAGGCTACTTATCAAAAAAACTTGTAGCAAATTCATAATGAGATCTTATTTACTTGGTCGAAATTATGAACACATTCGCAAGGGAGTTGTATACGTCACTGTAACAATAGTGATAACAACAAACTAACAAAGGAATTATTACGTGAGTTATATGTGACCATTCCTTTTGTTGTCTAAGATAATGTGACTAGATGTTTCGTTTTAGACACTCACCAACCAAAAACCTAGCTGTTTTATTTTATATATATATATTAAGGTAAGATGAAGGAACATAATGAACCAACATCTCTCACAGGTTAAGCAAGTCCAATTTCACAGGTCAACGCTTGAGAGTAGAGGGGGAAGGTAAGGGAATTTCCCTACCCTCAAGCAAATGTAGTTGGTGGGGCTCAAACTTGTGACCTCAAAGTCACAAGGTGAGTTTCCCATCAACTCCACTAAGCTTTGCTTGGTAACCTAGCCTTTTTTTTTTTTTTTAACATTAAATGATTAATAAAAAGGGGTGCAACACGAGAACTTCTCAGGAGGTCACCCATCCTAGTATTACCCTCGCCCAAGCACGCTTAAGTGTGCGAAGTTCTGATGGGATTCGGTGCATTAGTGTTGATATGATCGCACCCAAATAAAAAGGGGTGCAACACGAGCACTTTCCAGGAGGTCACCCATCCTAAGCTAGTACAAATAATTAACTGATTGACATATCATTGTTTAAATTCAAAGAAAGCAGGTTTAGTGTTGAGTTGGAAAGGAATTCATATTGTTACTTTGAGGTCATAAGTCAAAGCTCCACTAAGTGCAAATGTTTGGGAGTTGGATGTAGGGGGATTTCCTTATCTTCCACTCTATTTTCAAGTAGAAATCTCGTCTGCATTGCTGGATAATTGTGCTGGTTTAATAGGGTCCTTAATCCTTTTACTTAACCAGACCATGAGTTAATGTGGGACTTCAGCTTTTGAACAACATACACATGCAGTATTAAAACCTACAATTATGCAAATCATTGTCTTGAATTTAATTATCACAAATGAAAACAAAATTTTGGTGACCACTTGAAATTAAATTGATTGAAAGTACCTAGCCATCCGTCCTATAATGATATAATATTGTGTGATTCAAATTTCTGGTTTTAATTAGCTTAAAGTATAGTTCATAACAAATGAACATAATACAAATAATACAATAATCATCATACAATAAAATCAACAAAACATAGGAATTTTCTTTTTATCTACATTGAAAAAGCATTAGTATTTCTCGATAATTTTTTTTTAATAACATAGAAATTTTAATTTTTGAAATAGAGCTGATTTAGTTAATTGTATCCTTAGAATTGTACTTTTTATCATCATTTGTATGAAATCGAACTTGTAATGGACCTTGGGATACCTTTGTTAAGATTAGGCAAAGAGAGATTTAAGGTATTTAGGAGTAACAACCTAAACCTTATTTAGAAAATTTTCAAATTGTTTGTTTAAGGGGTAAAGATATATGCAACCTTAAAAGTATTTAGTAGATACATGATATGATTTTAATAGATATAAATTTAAAAATGAATTATAAAATCACATGTTGATTAGTGTAATTATTGTTTACTGACTTAATAATTTAAATTTTATTTTCTTATACGCAACCCCATTTTCTTTTTTAAAATTCATGAAATATGTTAATTACATATGTTTTTTTTTTTGTTTTTTTTTTGGAAATAGATATATACCACTATTTAGAAGACCATTTATTGACAATTCTATCAACAACTATCTTCAATAATAAATTGACAAGGCTATATATGTAGTTGAGAAACCCAAAACAATTAATGTTGGATTATTAAAACTCTAATATTAGGAGACCAAACACTCAAATAGCATATGAGCATATCATATTCATAACTTAGCATGTTAGTGTGACATTGACTACTAATAAATAAATACAATTATATATTAAATAAATACAAGTATATATATTAATACAAGTATCATATACATGAAGTATGTATCGTCCAATAATATTGTATACATTAAATTATTATTGTATATTTTCAAAAGCAACCACATATTAAATTTAATTTTTCATTGATGTTTGATGGTCTATTTGTATTGTTCCATTCTCATTAAATAATTCAACATCAATAAAAGAGATGGTGAACCATGTGGATGATAAGTGCTTGAATGATGACTACAATGTCAATATGACAAAAGGGTATTTTCGTCCATAATAATAAATCCAACAATGTAGGGTCTCGAATCTTAGATGTGATACATAAAGGATGTACAATATGTGGCTTGAATCTTGTTATCTCATAGCAAATTCTATGAATAATGCATCTAATTTGGTATATGTACATGTTTTGAGGTTGTCTGCTCAAGTGTGAGGTCAAAGAGTGACCATTTTATTGTGCGGTTGCATATATACTTGCATAGCTATACAATTTGTGCCACTTACGGAATATAATATGTTTTTAGTGTAACAATAATTAGGTGAGCAATAATGTGTAGATGTTGTTTGATTTTATTTACCAATTATGTATCACAAGTTACAACTAATAATTTACCCCCTTTATTTCTAAAAATATTGCTAATTTAATCATTGCATATAGGAAGATATTTTAGAGATGTAGAGAGTAATAACTAAATTATACCTGGCATCAGCCTATCAATTATTGAGCTCATTTTGTACAATCAATCAAAGTTAGAATGAACATATATAACGATATTACTTAATATGATTGTTCAAATTATGAATTTAACTTTCAATCATCAGTTCTTAAATGTTGTCGACAATTAATTACTAAGTTGTAAGAGAATTAAGGAAAGAGAGAGCTAAATGAAAAAAGTGAGCAAAATTATAAAATTGGACTAATCAATGACAAATGATTAAGATTTTGTTATATTCATCTTACTATTTTTGCTTATTCTTGTCAAATGAGATTAGAAACTTTTGGACCAGACTAGAAAAATTATAATTAAACCAAACAAAATTATATATATGTAAAAAGCAATTTAAACTAGACAATAATAATTTTAAATCAAACTAACTAAAGCTCTTATCAAACTAGATTAGATCGCACCATAAACAAATATGGACTAATAAACTTTATTTAAGTTTAAGGTGAATAGAACATAGCCTATATGGGATGTGTGTGATTGTGTGGAGGAAGAGAGGATTAATTATAGTAATAAAAAAAATAATTGAAAAATATATAAACAACATAAAATAGATATATAAATAACAAAGCAAAACAGACTTATGAAAATTAAATATGATTAGGTTGGTACTTTAATTGAAAAATAAAGCACTAAAGCAGTATGATTGTTAGTGAATTTGGTACTAGTTGGTTTTTATTGGTTAGTAATACTAGTTGATATGTGTATGAAATTATATAAAGTTGTAAATAAAGTAAGAAAAAAAGAGTGAAAATGAGAAAATATTGTGGGTAAGAGGGATAATGTAGTAAAAGAATTGAAGTTTACAAAAAGATGGAATAACATAAAAGTCTTACAAACTTTAAGAAACAAAAAGGTGTTAAAATCATTTCGATACAAGTGTAATATGTATTAATGATACAAAGTAAAAGTTTTGCGTTAATAATAGCAAAACTCCACAATCTACAAATAATTAGAAAATAATTATCGGATTTGAGTGTTCGATCTCTTGATGTCTTTGATAGGTTGTCAATTAATTAATTCACTTCATAATTCCATTAATTTTCTTCACATTTAGAAGTCATTGACCCTAATCATATTAGGTGCACACGGCACAATGGCGTGTATCACGAAAGTTGATGATTTTTTTAATGATAATCTTACTTTTTTGATAATCAATATCATTGTAGGACCATCATCAAGTCAAGTCTAGTTTTAAAAAAAAAAAAAAAAAGTTTTTGCCCCCACCATAAATTTCAACAAGAGAATAAAAAAGACATCTAGAAGGAAATAAGCAATAATGAATTATTTTATTCATTTCTCGCAAGTAAATTAAATAAACATGAAATTTATATAAATAAACTCAATGCTAAAATAAACAAAATATTACATCTTATGTGAATGTTGACCTCACATAAATAATCAAACTAACAAGCATTACTCATGCATTATTTCAAACAACACTAAACAAGTGACAATATCAAGAATTTAAATCTCAAATCCATGATTTCTAATGCCATAATTTGGCATGCATGCTAAATAGGATGACCTTTGTATCTTAGGACTCCAAAGATTTTGGGGTGAAGTTCTTGAACTTTGATTCCATCTCATACCATGATTCCAAGCTAATCATGTCATTGAATTCGGAGAAAGTAACAATTTTGTCCAAGTCATCCCTAGTGGTACCCTTGTCCTTAAGAACCCTCATAATTTCAACCAAAGCTTTGGTTGTAGCATAGATTGTTGATAGTGAATGAGCAATCAAGTGGAATCCCATTTCCTTGAACTCTGCGGGTGTGTGCAATGGGGTCTTTCCTCCTTCGATCATGTTTGCGATTCTCAAACCCTTGACATCCCTAACAACCTCTTTCAACTCTTCGATGTTTGCAGGTGCCTCAACAAAGGTCGCATCAGCTCCGGCCTATATACCAAATTAGATAATACTATCAAAATACAATTATAAATAAATGATTATCTACATCATTTCTTTTCTTATGCATCTGCAACCGTTAATTTAAGGATTCGACCATCCAAAATCTAAAAGAATCAAATACGGTTCCATCACTCTAAATTGTTCTTAGTAGTAATTGTCATTAGTCTTTCAACATTGAAAGATATGTGATCTGTATGAAAATGAAATTCTCATATGTGACAAGTTTTAGCTAGAAACAGTAGTCATGTGCTGGAGGATCCAAGTGGTTTGACTTGGGAAAATAATGGACACATATAAATAGTACTCTTTTAATTTCTTTTTGATATATTTTATAGTTGTACTCCACCACACATTACTAAATTGATCTTGATTCAGATTCAATCCAAACATGTTGAGATCATAAATCTTAAATCCATATTCAAATACTCGTAACTATCGAGCCCACCAGTTTAGCGTGAAATATATCTATGTTTTTATAATTCAAATATATTTCAATTAAAAAGTTATAAACAAATCCTCTTACACAGGGTAATTTATTGGGTTAAATAATTTAGTGTGAAACTGATCTACTTTTTAATAATTTAAATTTATCGTAACTAAAAAATTATATCGTCAACTAACATACCTCTCTGTAAAGGTTAGCCCTTCTAATGGCCTCTTGTAGACCATGGGGAGCCCTAGCATCGGACCTTGCTACCAAGAAAAAATCAGAATCACCAATGGCTTCTCTTGCAGCTGCAATTTTAAGGGCATGCTCCTCTGCAGGTACAACACTCTTACCACGCATGTGACCTAAGAAATTAACAAAAAAAAAAGGAGGAGTTGTAAATTAATAACATTATAGATTAAATTTATACATTTGCAAAATATTGGTAAAGTCAACTGTCAAAATACTTACCACACTTCTTGGGCCATACTTGATCCTGTAGAAAAAAATATTAATTCACATGATTAGTAAATTCAAAGTATTAATTAATGTAATACACTTGTATTAAATCACTTCTTTTATGTTGTTCAAGTCATGTTCAATAATTGGTACCTCTAGGAAGACACCCTTGGCACCAGCGGCAATCAATTGTTTGATAAACCTTTGGACATTGAGGGGGCCACCACCTCCGGTGTCTGTGGTAGGCCAAAAAAAATCTCCGTTTTATTAGTAACAAGTTGTTTAAAAATCATGAAACATTTAAGAAATTAATGAATTAAGGTAGTTAATTACCTCCATCAACAACAACACATAAGCTTGGAGCAGCAGCGGTAATTCTAGTTACAGTTTCAACAACTTCAGTAGTTCTGTATCAAAGAATAATTAACATTATTAGTATATTATAAGGTGATACAATTAAAATTTCTTCGATAAACAGTTATTACTAGATAATACATGTAATATTCAAAGCTTGACATAAGTGAAAGGATAGTACACCTAATACTAAATTTATTTTATTTTGTACAACCAAGAAACAATTAGCCACCTTTTGGTTCACTAAACCCCAAAATAGGAACTTTTTTTGAGTTGAATAATTTTAATCATCTTCATGTAAGTGTGAAAGTGGCTATCTAAGAGCATAATTTATCTATCTATTAGAAAATCCTAAATACTTTTAAAAATGTTTGTATTGATAGGACACAAATAAAAAGATTTCACATTAAACTTTTTAGTATGTCACATAATTTTATAAAAAAAATTTAGACGGCGTTATTTTCATATAAATATATATATATTTTTTTCTTAAATATATACTCCGTATCTATTTTTTTGGCGGGATTTAAACTTCAATATTCACAATTGACAAAAAGAAAATAAAAATACAAAAATGCGAAAATAAATACTAGTACATAGTATTAGCTTATTCATCCTAAAAATTGGCGGGGCATAATATAGTAGTTCATTGAAGGGGACTTAACATACCACCCACTACATAAACTAAGCATATAAACATTTTCGAAATATTTTTTTTATATATTTTCTATCGTAACCTTTTCATTAGATATATTTATATTTTAAAATTTACCAATAATATGTCCATTTCTTTTTTTTTTTTTTTTGAAATAATAAGATGTCCATTTCTAAAAACACGGGTGCAATAGTAATACAATTTGTTTTTATTTTTTTTTTTTTTTTTTGGGTTTCAAATCCTATCAAAATTCTAAGTCAAAATGTACCAAATCATTTCCACTTGCCCACTACTTAGAAAAGGTTGCGAAACATATAGTAGCTGCCTAAGTGTTATTACCTTTAATAGGACATAATAAATTGGTTTCCATTATGTTGACTATACAAGTATACAAGCACATGCCTTTAGGCTCATAATTACAAAGAGTAATAATTAAGCATCTTGCATTTAAGATCATAAATTTCACGTAAAATAACTCAGATCAGATCAGATTATACCATACTATATTATATTAGATTCTTTTATATCATTGTATAATATTTGACCACTTAATCTTTTTTACGAATTATATTGGATCATGCATATGTCACTCTACGCATCAATATACTATCACTTATCAACATAACATTTGACATTTCTAAATACTAATGCAATAGTTACCAGTTCCAGAATTTATAACGAGGAATATAATCATTTTATGAAATTTAGAGACTTTATTAACAATGCACTAGAATAAAGAGAAGTGAGAATTATACGTGAGCAAGCCAAAGTCAGGCAAGCCAAGGAGGGCAGCGGAAACACCAAAACCAGAGACAAAGCAAGCTTTGAAGCCGGTTTTGGCACAAATGGCGGCGGAGAAGGCATCTTGGATACCGGGCATCAACACGGATCCTTCCTCGGCGATCAACCGGTGCACGGTTGTCCTTCCTACGGGAGCAGAACCCTCAAGAGAACCCATTTTCTAGTAAGAAGAAAAAGAGCTAAGAAAAATATGATAGAAGGAAGGAAGGAAGGAGGAGATGATCACTAGAAAGAAGTTGTGTTTTGTGTTTATGTTTGGTGTGTTTGCTACCCTATTTATAGTAGTAGAGTACCAAGATATGGTACGTAGTCATAACATTTTAAAAGAAGAGTTGCACCAAAAGATATTCATTTTTTAAATAAAAGGGGTGCGAAATTTCGTTTATTTTTAACTTTTTGACATTTTTTTTATTTTGATAGAAAGGAAATTTCGTGATTTGTTGTTTTGGTTAAATATGCTTAGAGGAAAAAAATATAATTGGAGGGTGGAAAATAGTATTTGTGGGTCCACTAGACCCCCTAAAGTGAGTGATTACTTGGCAATGTTATCATTATATGCGTATTAATTTGAAAATTATTAGGGGTGTAGGGACATGTGTTTTAAAATTATGTATGATTACAATTTGTGGAATATAATGTTGAAAGCCTAAAAGATTAGCTCCTTTTTTAAAAAAAAAAAAATATTATTTACTTATATTTAATTTATATTTGTAAGCGCGAGATGTACTCATGTCAGGATAAATAAAGTTAGTAAATATTTCGTATAGCTCAAGTGGTTACAGCTTTCCTCTCAACCTTTTTATGATTGATATAAGTTATTCAACAGAGTAATTTAAAATGGAGGTAGTATTTATTAATCTCATTTATCATTCTTTAGAATCTCTAATACCTTTCTTCTAAAAACTATATTACATAGACTCAGGTACCTATGTCCAAATGTCTGACTCATCTAAAGAGTTTCATGATTTTGAACTAAAAATTATTGTTAGAGGATCGTTAGTGTTCAAATATCATACTTATGTTCGAGTATCGAGGGTCAGACATAGATATTTGAGGTGAAATGAAGAGTCCATGTAATATAGACTAAACATGGGTTTAAAAGGATATATTGTAATCAAATCAAAAATTCAAAACCGTTGTAAACTAGTACTCCGTAATCGGATTACAAGATCCAATCTTAGATTTAACCACCTTTCAACGTTGCTACAACCTACAAGTAACATCATTTAGTTGGTCACATGGACTTCTTGTTTATCAATAAAATAATAAAGATGTTAAGGTTTGTTAGCAAATCCATTATCTAAATTGTTTTTTTCGAATAAAAATTGTGTAATTTTTGTAGCTCTAACAACATAGTACATGTGACTATTGTTTTATCTAATGGAATACTGAATCATTTTACATGTATAGTAAAGAGCTACAAGTTAAGAAAGATACAAATTATTCCGTACTACATCATAAATTAATAATCACTTAGGTAATACATGAAATCAATTTGAAAGTAATTCTCATGCAGTCATGCTACAAACTCTGTCTCCATGTACTTACTATTTGTAAACATGGGTCCAAAACTTATTACACACCATATTTTGCATTTTGGAGGTTGAGAGATAGAGGGTAGGGGATAAATTAATAATCTATCGCATATTTAGTACAAGTATATATGCCATTATGCTCAACAGCCTTGTATCATAACTTCATTAGGTTAAGTACTCCAACTTTTAACACATTCAAATACGCAGTAGTAAGTTTTTTGTTTTCATCATATGGTAAAATGCTATTTACTCAACTCTTTATTACGCTTCTCAAAAAAGATTTCTTAGGCCATATTTTGCTCATCTTATTTCCAACCATTTTGAAACAATTAAGTACAAACAGATTTAGATAAGGGTTTATGTACAACGATTGTATGGTATACCTTGTGCATGGTACATAACAACTTATATTGTACGGTGAATATTGTTGATTAACAAGTAAAAAGTTGTCTTAGAGAAATTATGGACGTATCTAGGCCAGGTAATTCGTAAAGACTTAGGATACCCTCTTGGAATTTCTCAATGTTGAGGAAAGATTCCTCGTAAGAACTATTTTAGAGATAAAGCTATATAAAGCTTTTAAAGGCATTATTCCCCCACCATATGTTGTTCATGGCCCATTTTTGTGTAATCAAATTTGGGAGAGTGACTAGGTGCGGCCAAAATGAATAATTCAAATTGATTCTAAGGCCTACGTTCATAATTTGTTGATTCTTCTTATTTTTAAAAATCAATAAATTTTACAATGGTGTTATATTAAAAAAAAAATAAAAAAAAAATACAGCATGTTTTATACATATCTTAGTTGTGTATGTCATATCAATTATTTTGCATATGACTCGTAACGAACAAATATGCGTACAAGGTTCAGCACAGCTCAACACATCCATGTTGCATCGCGGAGAAGCTTTCTACCTCTTCTTGATGGAAGGGACACGTTCATTCATTGCACAAACGCATGTGCTTGGGCGAGTGAAGGCGGTTTTAATCTGTTCGAAGCGTAGCGTACTTTTATAGGGTGTTTCTAAAATCATATGAAGTATTTCTCTATGTGACAGCTATTAGAATTATAATTGGGGAGTACTCTTAGGTTTATTAGCTTAGGGTTTCTTTATGTTATAAAAGAACCGAGAGATCAATTGGATCACACTCTTAAGCCATTAAGTAATTAGGACTCCTTACTTTTATATTCCTCGCTTTTATATTATCTTCTCCATTATAGCGAAAAGAAGTTCACGGTTCCACTTCCTAATTGTTTGAACCATGTAAATCCTTGGGTTATATTTTGCTCAACATATAAATTAAAAATAGGGTCAAATAAAAGAAGATGAATAGTGTAAATCTACAATTGTTGCAACTAAAAGTGAATGAAGAAAGTAATTTCCATTCATATATATTGTGTCAAACACTTTATCAATTACAGATTTGCCATGATTAAAAATTGTTGTGTTATTTCTACCTTCTTCTCCTCATTAATTTGTAATGGAATAAACAACTCTTTGTATTGAGATTTGTTGTAAATATAACAAGGAATCATGTCTACTCAGAATTTTAATAGTAAACCTGTTAAATTTTGGGGAAAATATTTCTCTATATTTCTCATTGTATTTTTCCAATTGTATTTTCCCATTCATTCTCTTTAGCCACATTACAATATATATAGACAATAGAAATGTCTAACCCTAATATTCCTAAATATCTTAACTTCCTAAATCTATCACAATAGCTCACATATATCTTTTCACAAGATATTCTCTAGAATATTATCACAATATAATATCACAATAACATCTATATATTTCATTCTATCTCTTAATAGAAGACTCCTAGTATTACAATGATATCTCATATGATATTATATGACATATATCTATATCTCAATACCTTCCCTCAAGTTGGAGCATGTAGATCTCGGATGGCTGAATTGGACAATAAAATAAAAATTTGCATCATATTGTCATTATCAAGCTGCAATATGTAATTTGAATTGTCAACGATCCCAAACCGCCAAAAAATCAAACCTGATTTTTAAAAACAATTGTGAAACCTCACAATAATTATGTATTGAACGCAAATAATGAATAATGCTCTCGTGTTTAAAAATCTTTTATTCCCTCTCCTCTGATGAGAACGCCATTCTTTTCGAACCCATCAACTAGCAATCAAACAGGAACGTCATTCTTTTCGAACCTGCAAATATAATACAAAATGAACGTCTTTCTTTTCAAACCCGTCATATATTTTTTTCTTCTCCTCTCACACGATCTCGTGTTTAAGGTTCATTCTCCCACATGAACTCTCATGTTTTTCATCCCAGTATCTTCCTAGGCTCTTGATACCATTGAGGAAAATAATTCTTTGTATTTTCTCCATTCTATTTTCTCATTCATTCTCTTCAGCCACATTACAATATATATAGACACTAGGAATATCTAACCCTAATATTATTAAATATCTTAACTTCCTAAATCTATCACAATAGCTCACAAGCCTCACATATATCTTTGCACAAAATATTCTCTAGAATATTATCACAATATAATATCACAATAATATCTTTATATTTCATTCTATAATACTAGACTCCTAGTATTACTATAATATCTTATTTGATATTAGTCTCATAATATCATATCACAATATACATTTGTATCTCATTTAAAACCATAGATATATACTTACTCCGCTATTTTTAATTGCTACTATACTATTCATATGCTTTATTTTGACAGACTGTAATGTTTTATTGATAAGCTAATATATTTTCTCAAAAAAAAAAGAAAAAAAAGTTAAGCAAAAATATATGAAAATTATATGGTATACATCCTTAAAATGACTATCATTATACTAATTATTTATTGGCTGATTTTTTATTTATTCTTTATGTCAAAATTAATTTTTAATTTTTTTTTTCATATTATTTTTTTTTTCTTTTATATATTTTCATAATCAATCAATGAATAATTTTTAATTTCAATAATAGCAACTGAATTTTGTAAATTAATTAGGAAAACTATAAAAAAAAAATCAAAAGTTATTTCAAAATTTATAAATGAATTTTAAAAATAAGATAAATAATTTATAATTAATATTGACATTAAAAAACAAATCAAAATTAGTTAGTTTAATGGTAGGCTTTTTAAGAATGATTACCATATAATCATCCAATAAAATATAATCATGTCTGATCTTGTTAGATTTGTTTTGATTTATACCTTATTTTAAAATTAAACGCTTATAATTTTTATATATTGGTAATTAAAGATATTAATGATGGAAATAATGCATCAGCAAGCGTTAATAAATTGAAGTATTGCAAGTTGAAAAAAGTATGTAAGTAAAAAAAAGTGTAGTTGTGGTACAGGTACAATGATTTACTAAAGTCAAATGATATAGATGAAATCGGACTGTTTAATTTGTAGCACCTTTCAATACTCTAACAGACTAATTAGTGGCATCAATATATCAATACACAAATAATTGATTATGAAATGATTATCATTTCAATTTCAAGGGTGTGGTTTAAGTACAAGTAATAAGAATTTTTTTAAAAAAACACTATTATTATAGGATCAATTTTACCAAAAGTTTTAACTTATGATCGAAGTTTAGGATTAGTTTGTATACCACCTCATCACGCCCCCTCACATGAGAGCCCTTTAAGCTTGAAATGTGGATGCGGCATAAGCCCCCTCATAGCCAGCGCGAAATATTCCACTAGAAAGTGG